AAAAAAAAAAAAAAAAAAAAAAAAAGATAGAGAGAGAGAGAAAAGAAAAGAAAAAATTATAGGGCAATCTCACTTCAAACAGATGAAAATAAATCCTCAATAAAATAATAGCAAATAATGTAGAAATGCAAAAAGAAATATTATGATCCAATGATCCAGTTGGGTTTATTTCAGGAGGTAAAGGATGGTTTACTATTCAAAAACCAAATTTTACCACATCATCAGATAAAGGAGAAAAGCCATATGACTGCATGATCATCTCAGTAAGTCCATGAAAAGAATTCAAACCCAGTCATACATGATTTTTAAAAACGTATTTTATTAATTAGAAATAGAAGAAGACATCCTTAATCTAACATTTGTATCAAATTTTGGTTCAGCTATAACAAAAAATCCAAATAGCCAGGTTTGGTGACTCATGCCTGTATTCCCAACACTTTGGGAGGCCAAGGCAGGACGATCACTTGAGGCCAGGGATTTAGGACCAGTCTGGGCAACATATTGAGACCCTGTCTCTACAAAAAAGTAGAAAAAATATTAGCCAGCTGTGGTGGCACACACCTGTAGTCCCAGCTACTCAGTAGGCTGAGGTGGGAGGATCACTTGAGCCCAGGAAGTCAAGGCTGTTGTCACCTATGATCCTGCCACTGTACTCCAGTCTACGTGACAGAGTGAGACCCTGTCTAAAAAATAAATAAATAAATAAATAAAATCTAAGTAACATAAGCATAAATGAGAAATAAGTTAATTTCCCTAGAAATCTACCTAAGCAATCAATGGGTGAAATGATCTAAGATTCTTCTGTTTTATTACTCTGCTGTATAGTGTTTCAACCTCATGGTCCAAACAGTAGGATCCATGCTCTAGCAGAAGAAGTAAGAAAAGGAAAGCAGGAAAAAAGGAAGGAAAACCAGGAAGGGAAGGGGAGGGAAACTGGGAAGGGAAGGGGAGGGAAACCAGGAAGGGAGGGAAGGGGAAGGAAACCAGGAAGAAAGGGGAGGAGAGGGAAACCGCGAAAAGAAGGGAGGGGAGAGAAACAGGGAAAGGAGGGGAGGGGAGAAAAAGGGAGGGGACTGGAAGGGGCACCAGGACAGGAAGTGAAGGGAACCGAGACAGGAACCGGAGGGAAAGGGAAGGGAACCGAGAAGGGAACCAGGATGGGAACTGGTGACAGGTGAGGCCAGTTGGACTTCCTGGATCCAGTGGGGACTTGGGGAGCTTTCCTGTCTTACAAGAGGATTGTAAAACGTACCAATCAGCACTCCGTAAAACGCACCAAACAGCGCTCTGTAAAACACACAAATCAGCGGGATTCTAAAAGTAGCCAATCACCAGGAGGATTGAAAAAAGGGCACTTTGATAGGACAGAAATGGGACACATGGGAGGGTACAATAAGGGAATAAAAGCTGGCAGTGGCCCATGCTCTCCCACCCTCTCTTCCACAGGATGGAAGCTTTGTCCTTTTGCTCTTCACAATAAACCTTGCTACTGCTCACTCTTTGGGTCCGTGCCATCTTTAAGAGCTGTAACACTCACCACAAAAGTCTGTGGCTTCATTCTTGAAGTCAGGAAGACCATGAACCCACCAGCAGGAACCAACTCCAGACACACCGGGAAGAAAAGGGAAGGGAACTCGGACAGGAACCGGGAAGGGAAGGGAACCAGGATGGGAACCGCGGCAAGAACTGGCAAGGGAAGGAAAGGGAACCGGAACAGGAACCAGGATGGGAACTGGGAAAATAAGAGGACTGGGAAGGAAAGTGAACCGGGAAGGGAAAATAGGAAGGGAGGGGAAGGGAAACTGGGAGGGGAAGGGAAACTGGGAGAAGAAGGGGAGGGAAACTGGGAGAAGAAGGGGAGGGAAACTGGGAGAAGAAGGGGAGGGAAACTGGGAAGAAAGAGAAGGACAGGGAAACTGGGAAGGGGAGGGAAACTGAGAAGTGGAGGAAAACTGGGAAGGGAGGGGAGGGGACCAGGACGGGAACTGGGAAGGGAATAAGGAAGGGAAGGGATGGGAACCAACTGGAAAGGGAACCGGGAAGGGAAGCGGAACGGGAACCAGGATGGGAAGGGAATCAGGAAGGCAAGGGAATTAGGAAGGCAAGGGAACCAGGAAGGGAAGGGAACCAGGACGGAACTGGAAAGGGAACCAGGAAGAGAAGGGAAGCAGGACAGAAACCAGTCAGGGAAAGAACTAGACGGGAACCGGAAACGGAACCGGGACTGGAACAGGGAAGGGAATCTGGACGGGAACTGGGACGGGAACAGGGAAGGAAAGGGAACTGCGATGGGAACCGGGAAGGGAAGGTAAACGGGAAGGGAAGAGAAACTGGGAAGGGAGGGAGGGGAGAGGAGAGGGAGGGAAAAGGTGAGAAGCCACAAAGGGTAAGGGGAGTAGGGGAGGGGACTTGAAAGGGAACCCGGACGGGAACCTGGATGAGAACCGGGAACGGAGGGGATCGGGAAGGTAAGGGAACCGGGACGGAAAATGGGAGGGGAACCGGAAATGGAACAGGGAAGGGAAGGGGACGGGACAGAACCGGAAGGGATGGGAACCGACGAGAACCCGGACGGGAACTGGGAAAAGAAGGGAAGGGACTGGGACGGGAACTGGGATGGGACTGGAAAGAGAAGGGAACCAGGACAGGAAATAGAGACAGGAACTGGGAAGGGAAGAGAAGGGAACTGGTACGGTAATAAAGGAAGGGAAGAAAACCGGTACGGGAACCGGGAAGGGAAAGGAAGGGAACCGGGATGGAACCGAGAAGGGAAGGGAATCGGGGCGGGAACCGGGGAGTGAAGGGAACCAGGATGGGAAGGAGAGGAAAACCGTGAAGGGAAGGGGAGGGAAACCGGGATGGGAGAGAAGGGGAAGGAAACCGGGAAGGGAGGGAAGAAGAGGGAAACCGGGAAGCGAGGGGAGGGGACGGGGAAGGAAACTGGGACTGGAACCAGTACGGGCACCGGGAAGGGGAAGGAAACCAGGAAGGAAGTGGAGGGGAGGAGAGACTGGGACGGGAGCCAGGACGGGAAGGGGAAGGGGAAGGGGAGGGAACCGGGCGGGAACCGGGAAGGGAGGGGAAGGGAACCAGGACTGGAACCGGAAAGGGAAGGGAAGGGAGCCAGGAAAGGAAGGGAAGGGAAGCGGGATGGGAACCAGGAAGGGAGGAGAAGGGAACCGGGAAGGGAAAAGAGGGGAACCGGGACGGGAACCCGGAAGGGCAGGGCACCGGGACCGGAAGGGAAGGGAACCGGTATGGGAACCGGGACGGAAACCGGGAAGGTAAAGGAAGGGAACCGGGATGGGGAGGGGAGGGGAACCGGGAAGGAAACCGGGAAGGGAAAGGAAGGGAACGGGGATGGAGAGGGGACGGGGTTGGGGGGTAGGTAGGGGAACCAGGCAGGAAGAAGGGGAGGGAAAGGGAAAAGGGAAAGTGAAGGGAAAAGGAAGCGAAAAGGGAAAGGGAAGGAAGGGAAGGGGAATGGGAAGGAGCAGGGAGGGAAAGAGGAGTGAGGGGAGAAGTGACAGAGGGCGTATGTGAACTGTGTCTCAAAGAAGGTTCCCCGGAGCTGCCATAGACCATTTACATCTGAATCCTACTGACCAATAACATGGTCATTTGGACACACTTAGTTACAAAAGAGTAAAATAAAATGTTTCTGAAAGTATAAAAGAAGACAATAAATTGGCAAATATGTAGGAAAGAGACATTCTCAAAAGTTAGTAGCAGGAGTGTAAATTGGTACAATCTCTATGCAGGGCACTTTGGCAATATCCTTCAAAATGACTAATGCATACATCCTCTGACTCAGAAATTCCACTTTTAAGAATTTACATCACAGATTTACTGGCATATGAGTATGTGCAGGACTATTCATCACAGTAAAATATTAGAAATGACCAAAATGTCCATCAATATGGAAAGCTAAATATATGATGCACATTTTGTGATGTAATGTACTAGTGAAATAAATGAGGAAGCTCTATGTGTCAATATGGAACGACTTCCAAGTGTAAAAACAAAATCAAGGTAGACAAGAGTATTTATAGTGTTATGCTACCTCATGTGACAGCTTTATTGATTAGGGTTTTTAATAATAACTCTTCATCTCCAACGTACATGCAATACTATGTTCCTTTACAATCAAAAAAGATCCAGGCCAGGCACGACGGCTCACGCCTGTAATCTCAGTATTTTGGGAGGCTGAGGTGGGTGGATTGCTTGAACCCAGTAGTTCCATACCAGCCTGAAAAACATGGCAAAATCCCATCTCTACAAAACATACAAAAAATTAGGTGGGCATGGTGGCACGCACTTGTAGTCCCAGCTACTTGTGAGGCTGAAGTGGGAGGATCACCTGAATCCTGGAGGTGGAGGCTACAGTGAGCTATGATCACACCCCTGTACTCCAGCCTAGGTGACAGAGTAAGACACTGTCTCAAAAAAAAAAAAAAAAAAAAAAAAAAATTCAAAGAAAATTTAACAAAATGTCAAAATTTGGCAAAGCTGAGATGGTGGGTTACACAGTTATCCATTATATATGCAAAAATGTTTGATAATTTTTTAAAGTATCAAAAATAGAAAATGTTCACAGATGTCAAAAGAATTTCCAACCAGAGTAACAAAATACTTTACTAAACAAATTAACATACGTAAGTATGACATAAATATAAGTAGTAGCTTATATTAATTTGTTGAAGCACAACTATCATTCAGCTGTTTGTCAAAGATGCTAACATTTTAAAAATTTTAGTTCACTTTTGTCTATGAAAGAAACATGAAGGCAATTAATGCCAAAAATTTTCTCAGAAGTTTCAAAACAAATTCAGATTTACCTGTGCTAACTTTTGCGTGGATGAACTCAATTCTTTTACTGACAGTATTTCACTGGAATCGGTTTGAGTGGCATGGTCTGTGCTGAAAAAGCCAATCTTTAAATCATCTGAAATGTTGAGTCTGAAAACAAAGGAAATGAAATGTGCTTTATGTCATATATATTTTCTTAGAAATAGATGTTAGTGTGTATTTTTTTTGTGTAAATCATATCATATTTTAAGTATTCTAAGAGGTTGGTGAGGTGAGGAAGCCTCTGAATTAGCTCTTGTGATCTGGAGCTAATGAGGATAATGAGATTATCAAATTTCCTGGACTGAGGCATATTGCTCTATGAATACTCAACTGATTTCCACTTTTCTGAGATGATCAATTTATATACCTGCTTTTAATATCTTCCATACTGTTACTGCCTGTGCTACTGCTGGAAATCATCCTAGGTTATGCATGGGCCTATTCAGCAGAAATCCTTTAAGATAGTGGTTCTCAAAGTATGGGCTGAGGATCTCTGGGGTTCTGGGATTCTCTTTTAGAAAATCTATGAGATCAAATTAATTTTATAATAGCATTAAGATTTTATTTGTCTTTTTTACTATCATTATGTCACAAATGGTCAATGGAGTTTTCCAGAGGCTACAGATTATACAGAAGCAGCTCTCTTCCATTAAGCCAGGCATGGAAAAGCTTTGCAAAATGTGAAACAGTGATATTCTTCTCATGAAAGTTTTTGTTTTAGAACAATACAGTTAGTTTTTCTTTAAAATATGCTATTTCCAGCTACTCGAGAGGCTGATGCAGGAGGATTGCTTGAGCCCAGGAGGTTGAAGCTGCAGTGAGCTATGAATGCACCACCATACTCCAGCCTGGGCAACAGAAAGAGAACCTGTTTCAGAAAAATAAAATAAATAAAACCTGGTATTTATATTAACACATACCTGGTTTATCCTTATTTTAAATGAATCAATTTAAATATATTTTAATTTTCTTCTTTTAAATTTCTCATCTGGCAACTATCAATAGACAGGACCAACATAAACTACATCTCTTTGAGGGTGCCAATAATTTTTTAAGACTATAGAGAGGTCTTGAAACCAACAAGTTTGAGAATTGCTTATTTAAGATGATCACACCGCCTTCCTATATTTGATTTTCAAACATTATTCCTGAAAAATGTGAATAGGCCAGGAGCAAGTGTTTGTAAATTCTTTTTACAGATTTCTAAGGACAGGCATCTCAAACAGCATTAAGAAGGCAATTTTCTGGATGCACTCTGTCAGTTTGATCAAACTTACCACAACTGTTTCTAAAATGTCAGCTAAAATAAGAGAACCACAAAAGCCCAAGTAGAATTATCAGACTTCTCAGCGTAGGTGCCAAAGGCAGAATGTCTGTGCTTCTATCCCGCCTCTTCTGCTGACAAGAGCAGACCCCAATGCGGGGCACCCCATGGCAACTCCCCTCTTCTTGTATGCTGGCTGAACCTCAGATTTGTCCCCCACAGAACTCAGATGAAGTTGACCATATTCCCAGTGCCAAGTGTAACTCCAAGCTGGGCTACGCCCATCACAGTTATCCTACCCTCCTTGGCAGTGGATATCCAGGGATGGGTGTAGAACCCAGGTCTGAAGAGGGAGACATTAGGAAAGATTTGTTGGGAGCTAGTAAGAAAGCTTTTTAGACTCCCACAAAGGGAGCACCAGAGGAGAGTTTTCTTCTTTCACTCTGGATATTGCCAAGGGTGGAAGTAATGCCAAGAACTGGCACAGTCACTCGGTGACCACAAGGGGAGCGAGCCAGGGCATAGATGATGAGCTTTCAAAAAAGATGGAAATAGGTTGGGCACGATGGCTCATGCCTATAATCCCAGCACTTCGGGAGGCCAAGGTGGGAGAAGCACTTGAGATCAGAAGTTTGAGATCAGCCTGGCCAATATGGCGAAACCCTGCCTCGACTAAAAATAAAAAATTAACTGGGTGTGGTAGCACGTGCCTGTAATCCCAGCTACTTGGGAGTCTGAGGGACAAGAATCGCTTGAACCTAGGGGGGCAGACGCTGCAATGAGCCGAGATCGCACCACTGCACTCCAGCCTGGATGACAGAGCAAGATTCTATCTCAAAAAAAAAAAAAAAAAAAAGATGGAAATAAATTTGACTGATGACTTTGCTTGGCCATTGACTCAATTAGCTCTGAAACCTGTCATACCTCCAGTCTTCCTGTAATGTCACAGAGTAAATGCACCAATTGTTGGCAGTTTCTGTCAACTGTAGCTGAAAGCATCCTGACTGGTACTCTAGCTACATGGCATTAGATAAATTACTAAACCTTTCTGTGCCTTAGTTTCCTCTTATGGAAAATAATAGTCCCCACTTCATAGACTTACTGTGAGAATTTAGTGTGTTAATACTTAGAAGTATTTTGAATGATCCTTGATACAACAGTAAGCCCTCAAGAAATGTTACCCATTATTAATACCGCAGTGGTGGTTGTTTCTACTGTCACTCTGATGTTTTGAAATGTCATAGGTTTTTCATCATATTTGGAAAAAACTATTAAAGCATAGCAATATCAACTAAGAAAGGCCATTTAATGTGAAAACTCCTTGAAGTAAAATAAATAAATAAAATAAATATCAAAATAAAGATCTTCAATTAATCCCACAAAATTTTTAATTTTCCATACACTAATTACAGTAAACAAATAAAAATATGCTATATATTCTGAGGTAGTGATGAGCACCATTTCTCATTACATACACCCCATGTAACTTACTCATGTGTCACATATCTGCTAGTTAAATGTTCCCCCAAATACATCTGTACCTTAACAATACCCTCAGCCTAGGATTAAGTCTCCCCACAGTTGTACCTATCAAAAACTATATGTAACCACTTTCTTTTCTACCTTCTTTTGCCTTCCATTCTGTTCCCTTCTCAGGGTGAAGGAATCAACATGGAGGTCAAGGACATGGGTCCATAAAAAAAATTGAGAGTCATGCATAGAAGAACAGCAAGCCTGGTGGCTAAGAATGTGGGTCAGTTGGGGGAACAGGGGAAGCAGCACAGAGGTGGCACACAGAGAAGAGGACCACAATAGTGGGAGACTAGATACATTGAATGAGTAAGTAAATGTTCTCAAAATGACAGAAGTCAAGTTTTTCAGTTCTAGGAAAGATATTTACAAACATAGGGAAAGAGTAGACTAGAAAGTTCTCTGAGACAAGGGAATGGAATGGGAAGAATTGGTATGAATGCATGCTTTTATAAATATAGATACATAGATACATAAATAGTTGCAGGTGCATATATGTGTGCACATATATATGTGAATATATATGTATGTGCATATATTTATACATATCTGTTTCTAGTTCTGTCCAATGAGAGGGCCTAGAAGAATGGCACCCCAGTAGTGATAAGCACATCTAACACTCAGATGTTGGTTTCTTTTCTTTCTTCTCCTTTTTCTTTTCAATATATTTTTTGAGACAGCGTCTTGCTTTATCACCCAGGCTGGAGTACAGTGGCGTGATCTCAGCTCATTGCAATCTCTGCCTCCTATGTTCAAGTGATTCTCACGCCTCAGTCTCCAAAGTAGCTGGGATTACAGGCGTGGACCATCACACCTGACTAATTTTGTATTTTTAGTAGAGATGAGGTCTCCCCATATTGGCCAGGCTGGTCTCAAACTCCTGGCCTCAGTGATCCACCTGCCTCGGCCTCCCAAAGTGCTGGGATTACAGGTGTGAGGCACCACGCCTGGCCCCAGATGTTGGTTTCTAAAAACCATCCTCCACTAAAAGAAATGAAGTCTCCTTGAAAAAATGGTTCATTCCAAGACTGGAATAAAAGTATATAAAATTATATAAAAGCAAAAGTATAAAAAGAGCCTGAAACATTTTGTTTGCCATAAAGTGAAGAAATGCTCAAAAGATGATGGGAAAATGTAAAAATGATGAAGAAACTAGACTGAAGAAACACCCACTGGACATATTTAAGACAATTTAAACATCAAAATCAATAATGAAAGCATCAGATTATAAGCCATTGAATAAAATAGGAATCCATCAATCCATACTGATATGAATGAACAAATAAATGAGAATGGGAAGCTCTAATAAATGTAGAAAAAAATAGAAAAAAGGCAGAGAATTACCATGTGGCAGTCATCATAAAGGTGACATTAAGATAGGAGTCATCAGGCTGGGTGCAGTGGCTCACACCTGTAACCCCAGCACTTTGGGAGTCTGAGGTGGGTGGGTCACTTGAGCTTAGGAGTTGGAGACCAGCCTGGCCAATATGGCAAGATCTGGTCTCTATAACAAATACAAAAAATTAGCCAGGTGTGGTGGCACACACCTGTAGTCCCAGCTACTTGGGAGGCTGAGGTGGGAAGATCACCTAAGCCTGGGAGGTTATGGCTGCAGTGAGCTTGGATTGTGTCACTGCACTTCAGCTTGGATGAGAGAGTGAGATCCTGCCTCAAAAAATAAAAAAATAAAAATAAAAGAGAAGAGTCATCATTGGTGACCATGTCTGGTTAGTATAAGTTTTAGAAAAAAGGAAATTGTAATACCTAGAAAATAGTAATTTATTACAAAGAAAAGAACGGTAAATTTAAAATAGAGGGCCTTGGTAGGCACCAACTCAACAAGGTCAAGGTTAATGAGGGGAAAAATTGAACCATGCCTACTAAAGTTAAAGCCCTGACAACCCAACCCGAGAAGTTCTTTATGACCAGGTGACTGAGGGAGAAAACCTCAAGCCTGATTCACAGATGGGCTTCTCACCAGCTGGTAGTTACCTGCAGTCTCAGAGCCACACTCAGAGGTGACCCTGAAGGACAATCATGAAGGTAAATCCTCTCACTGAATAAACTAGAAGCAGTATATTTGGTTGTCTATTTTTTCTGGATGAGGGATGGCCAGAATTACGTATCGATATTAATTTATGGGCAGCTGCTAAAGAGTTAGCAGGATGGTCAGGAACTTGGAAGGAACAGATTGAGAGATGGATGTCAAGAATGTCTGGGAAGAATTCTGTGAATGAGCCTTTGAAAACGGGCACAGACTGTACAGGTGTTTGTGCGGCATCTGAATGCTCACTCAAGGGAATCCACTGCAGAG